GGTCCCTACTATTTATCCAACAGTGCTTCATGGGAAAAATCCCATAAGGCATATGACCAGGTAACAGGATAAAGCACTGAAAGATACTCACCTAGCATGCTCAGTGCTTAATATGGAGGCCTCCATTATGTGGAAGCAGGGATTTGGACTGCAACAAGCTACTATCTAATTCTGAGCAGTGCTTGTGCCTCAACTCAGTAAGAAGTAAGCTCCCCAAGTAGATGAACCCTCAGGCAATCTTTCCAGCAAGGAAGGGTTGCTGAATTCCTCGTGTTTTCATAATGATATTCAGCTAGGCTAGGGACAGAAATTACACATAAACTGGTATAAGTGATTGGAAACTGGCTCACATCTGTAACACAGCAGAAGTTCAGTGCACAAAAACCACTTCCAAAAAAGACATTATAAGGCCACTTTGTCAGCACTAGAATTATTACCTTCCTGAGTTAATTCAAAGCCCCTAGTCTATTTAGGTTTGTATTTAAGATGATGGAGGTTTGTATTTAAGAAAATGGAGGTAAATATTACAGAATATTTTTATTGTGCTATATAGCACTGAGGATGGATGGAAGACTACTGTTTAAATATAATAATAATCATACCATGCTACTTCTTTAAAATAAGTAACATTGTAGCTCCTCAAAGCAGCAGTCAGGACCAGTGGGCTCCTATGGTACAAATAGAAGGAGTGGGATGTGGGAAGTTGGATCAGGTAAAACCGTAATAAGAAAAACAGTAACATAAGCCAACCATAGGATATAGCAGATGTCCTTACACATAGTTGCCTTTTCCTTTTTCTTGAGTGGAGGATGGTCTTTGCTCTTTTGATTGCTACAGATTTGTAAGAAGAGGACACAGATGCCTTCTTCTGAGGTGCTTTAAGACGCAGTCTTTAAAAGAGAAACAGCAACAGTTCTCCTCATCCCCCACCTTTTTTTGGGAAAAAATATTTATTTCTATATATATAAATATATAGAACTGTACCTCTAACAACCGGTCAAGTGACCACTATAGTTCACTTGACAGACCAAAACACACTGTGATCAGAGAATGTACCTGAGTGGCCCTTCTATCTGCAGACAAGAAGAGAAATGAGACCCTAACAGTAAGGGTCACTTTTAAGACACGTGGAGCCACATTTTGTTTTAAATTAGTCCTCAATAAAAAGGTCTCACTTTAAACAATTTCTCCAGTGCCAGTGGCATACAGGTTTTATTTACCACCAGATTCCCTCCTGCTTTCGTTGATTTAAATAGCAAGTGGTCTGGGTCACTTGTCTAGTGCTGGCTGCCCCAGCACCCATTTGAATTTAAAAGCAGGGTTTCTTTTCTGGTGGTTGGAGCATAGCCACTTGTCCCTGAATAGCTCCCTACAAATAAATAGCACATCTGGCCTCTGTATGTGCTGTTGAGTTCATTTTGGAAAAATAGAGGATTGTTTTCCCAAGAATATTTTGATTTTGTTTCCTCTCTGACCTCAAATTTTCCTAAGACCAGGTGCTAGCCCTCTGTATGAATGTCAGATGTACAGGTCCAGTGAGAGAGGGATGTCCAGTTGTAACACAGCTTTTTGCTTTGTGGTTCAGTAAATAATGCTCACCAAAACAGAAATCATGGAATCACAGCCATGTGGATGAATAAAAGATGTTCTGCATAAAAAGGGCTGAAAATCAATGGAAACTGCAGTTTGTGATGATATACATGAAAGTTTGGCATTTTAGAAGAGGTCATGATCTAAATCTCCTCTATTGTGTGAGAAATAGCTGTGTGAAATGTTAGTGACGAGGACCCTAAACCACAGGAAATAAACCTTGTTTCAGGATTCATTACAGACATTATAAGATGTGCTGAGTTTTAAGTTTCATTAAGGTTTGCACACTTTAGTTCTGAGCAAACCTGCCTGACTGCTGAGTCACAGCAAAAGATGACCTCCCCATAGGAAGCAGGCCCCTCTGACTTCCAAATCAGCGTTCAGGCTTCAGCAGCCCCAGGAGAAAGAAGAGAGACCAGTTCAGGCAGCTGCAACTTTAAATAATTTTTTTGACCTCATCCAGGGCCCTGGGCAAAAAAGCAGCCTCATTGGAACACTGTTAATACAGACCAGTTGGCACTCCAGGATTTGGCCAGTCACTCAACTGGTTTTACAGGTTCTGTTGTGGAAACTTAAGACAAGGGGTCTGGACACAAAAAGGGGGTGTGGAGGTGGGTCTCTCCAGTCCTAGAGGAAACAAAATATACAGCACAAACAAGATACACCGCAAAATAAAACCAGAACACACTTGACCACACACAGCCCCAAGTGTGTTTGGGTGTTACATTAATAACAAAAGTTTCCAGCTTAGATGGGTTATTTGAATATAGGTGCAATAGGTACGTGGATTTGTTGAGGAGGCCAGAAGAAGGAAGGCCAATGGAATGCTCCGTTTGATCTCAGGACATCATGCATAGCAGCACATAAAATCCTATGCCAGTGACTGATTTATACAGGCTTCTCGCTCTAGTAGAGATCCACCACGCTGTGAATGCACATGAGCCAAATGAAAGAAAATGTTATTCTCATACCGCTGAAGCTGAATAGGATTTCTGCCACTGAAACCAGGGGAATAAGATCAGGTCTATGAGCGACTGCAAAGGCAAACTATGTTTTGTGTGACCTAATTAAAAATTACCATTTAATTATCATTAATTTTATTTAACTGCAGTTGCCATTAGAAGTGAAGTTAACTTCTGCTGCTACTTAACACAGGATCTCTTACTTAGCCATCTTCTTTTATCTAAGAAACAGAGGGCACGTCTACACATCGCCATATGGCAACATTGCTATGGCACTTCCAAAAGGAAGTACTAAAGCACAGCTCAGTACAGGTGGTTACCGTGTCGTGTGTGCAGCATACAGGTAGATTTTGCCGCTACATTGCCATAGCGGGACACTATACCAGGAGAGTGTGCCACTACAGTGAAGTAGTTGGCAATCGTGTGTAGACCCGCGTGATCATTACCTCACCATAGCACAGTGTATGGTGACGTAGTGCGTTGCTGCGTCACCATAGGGCAACGTGTGGACGCACCCAGAGAGCCTTATTCTCCCAATATTAATACTTTTTAATTAAATAATTAAATTTTGTCTACTTGAAGCCTTTGGCTTCCCATTTCAATTTAATAGAGAGTGAAAGCTGTGAACTCCTTAACTGTGTTGACCAGTTGTAGAAAGCTCTGGCTCAGTGATGGGAGCACTGAGGAGAAATGTGGATGTCCAACCATTGTGATGTCTAAATTAAAGAATAGTGAATTAACTTTGGGTAAAAGAGATGTTTTAATGAACACACACGTGTGCATACACACACACATACAAATGTATGTATGTGTTTATGGCTTATATTCTTTATTTTTATTGGCAAGCTTTTGGGCTTAGCACAACATTAAGGACCGTGACTTCAAAAGTGGAAAGGAATAGTAAACATGGGTAGATCTAGGATTTTGAAAAGGATGCTACAGATGGTGTAGTCCATCGTTCCATAACATGAAATATTTTACTTCAGTTGAAGAGAAATTAGTAGGTTTACTAATAAGCTAGGGCAGGGGCGGGCAATTATTTCGGGTGGAGGGCCGCTTACCCAGTTTTGGCAGGCTGTCGACGGCAGAATGGGTAGCCCCGCCCCTTCACAGGTGCACCACCCCTTGACAAGTGCCCTTCCCCCGGTTACCATCTTGGGACCAACGTCCCAGTGTCTTGGGACCAATGTCCCAGGGCCAGCACTGCTGGGGCCCAAAGCAGGGTGCAGGCTGGCAGGGGTCCATGGAGCTGGGCTGGGCTGCACCAACAGGGAGGGGGGAGCTGGCCCGGCTCCATAAAGCCCCTGCCAGCTGGGACCCTGCGTTTCTGCCCCCCTGCTCTGCCGGTACTACTGGCCCCAGGACACCACCGGTGCAAGCCCTGTGCTCCCACTGGCTCCCCACCTGCTCACACCCAGTGCCCCCCCAGCCCCGCAATACAGGCGGGGGGCAGCACACAGCCCCGACCCCCTGCTTGCCAGCAGAGAAGCTGGTGCTGAGCATGGGGAAAAGTGGCCCCTCACCTGCCCCATGGCTGGTGCCCCGCATTGCAGGCGCTCGCAGCCCACGCAGGGCTATCTGGAGCAGGCACAGGCAGCC